TTTTTCCTTACCTCTGAGTTCTCGTCAATCCAGATATTGTTTGAAGGACGCAAAGACTGGCTTGTTTTCGCCTGTACATTATGGCTCGGATGCTGATGGTGTCGCCCACAGAAAAAGACATTTCTCAGACTTTCTCATTTGAAGAAATGGCCAATCGCTCAGGAAAAAAAAAGGGAAAAAAAAAAGAAACCCACTGCCGCCTGCCACAGTATCGTAATTTCTCTCCTCTATAAATTTGAAGGTCGCTTTCTTCAATAAGCCATTTGGCCACTGAAATTATGTCGTCTTTGCAAAGTTAAAATAGCTTCTGTGAACGAGAAAGAGAGAGAGAGCGGGAGAGTGTGTAGGGAGGTTTAGAGACGCGGATGATGAGATGAGGTGAGGAGTGTACACGCTTCGCAGTGCGCGCAAAGCGAGAGCCCCCAGAGCAGCGTCCACCCCTGCCCGTCTGCATGCATCTTACTTTCACAGTACTGAAAACGGTAGCGAGGTTAATCTTGTCTTACAGATGATGATGATGGTGTGTGTGTGTGTGTGTGTGTTTTTTTTTTTCTTCCTCTTGCAAATCATTAAGAGGTAGAGGCAGGCTTTAACAGCTCCACCTCTGAGAAGTGTGGGCAATTGCCCATCATTTAGACGCTCCATGATTTCAATCAGTTATTTCAGACAGCAGCCGCTTATGTCACGGAAGAGCAAATAACTACAACACATGTTCTGCTAGAGATTAAAAAAAGTAAGAAAAATAATTCTGTAATTGTTGTGATTATTCGTGAAAAAATAGTTGCGGTGGACTGTCGTATCTCGAAGTGTTTCACGGCAGACAGCAAAACCTTTCGCAAGCTGCCTCCACAATTAGAGCGATTGGACTAAAGCTGATGTCTATTGTGACTCTGCTGATTTGATTAGCTAAAATGGACTCGGTGATCTCAGTAAAGGCACTGTGACATCTGTGCGACTTTAATCTTTCATTTCAAAGTACACGGGGAGCCACAACTTTCCTATGATAGACTTTGAAAGACCTGAAAGCAGAATTGAATGAACTTTTCAGTGATTCCATCTAATATGATTGTCAAAGTCACAGCAGTAGGCTGTAGATTATTTTGTACTGCGAGATTTTGTGTTTTTCGTGTAAAGTTGAAGGTTTATTTTTATGTGGGCGTGGCTTAATTGAGCACAGGTGATGTCACACACCTTTAATGGCGTGCAATACTAAAAATGTTGGTATTGATCAGATACTGATTTTATAAAGGCAGCTTATGTAGAAAAGAGCAATGTGACATGATTTATGTAACAAACCATCAACAATTTGCTAGTTCTGACCACATTTAATGACCAATTCACTGTATTCATTTTTACTTTCCACAACAATCAATTCATAATGTTGTACTAGTACGAATTGAATCCCAATACCAATGCTGTTATCCATACTATTGATATTGGGATCAGTCTGTGTAGGAGCCATAATTAAATGTATTGAATTTTGATGATCACTGGGTTTTCATTTGTTTGGTTGCTATGGTGATGTTTAATGAGAGTCACGTGGGTGCTAGCGGTGACATCAAGAGGGCGTTGTCAGTCTGTCATTCACTGGTTTGATTCTGACAGAGAGGAGGGCTGGGTAGCCGTAGTTTTTGTTGACCGCTGCGCAACGAGTTTCCCCTTGTTGCGTTAGAGCCTGTGATGTTTTAAAAGTCCGAATCGCGAGCCAATCACATTACTCTGTAAACTCTCAAAGCACTTTAATAAACAAATAAGCAAATCCACCTCTCGCACCTCTCCATCCCCGGCCTCTAGCGACTGTGGAAGTCGCTATAGTCTGTCTATATCTAAATTTCTAAATTTGCTAATAATATTGATAATAGCTGGATGTCATTTAAAGCGCTAAGTTTATATATCCTTTCTGTTTCTGCAAATAATTAGTTAAAACTGTCAGTAGTTCATTATGAAAGTACATGACAGTAGTTCCTCACATTATAAAATTGGTCTGTTAATCACAATTTGAGACGCTCATTCTTTGAGACCTTAACTAGCTTAACCCTAAACATTAAGTGAAACTACCACATTAACTTTGCAATCTCAAACCGCTACATGAACTAGGACGCTTCATTAACACGAAACAGCAAGTTTACTCAATAATCATTTACTGCATAATTCAGTCTTCCCCTATATTAAGCTGAACCTTGATTGATCTCCCAACCAATTATAAATAATAAGATTATGATTTCTCAGTATCCCTGCTACATTTAATCCACGCACCCATTAACACATCAATATTTTCTAGCTGTATTATTTTGAATGTGTCAGACATTCTTTAGCCAAGGGTAATAACAGTGTACTGCACATTCAAAAAGAAACTGTATTTTATTCTGGTGAATCACAATTATGTTGTATTTCAAGATTTTTGCTGACCATCATATAGGTAGGTAGGTAGGTCTGTCAGTGGCATGTATCTGTTCCTTATGTTAAAGGAAGGGCTTCATTTAAAGTTCAAGGCATTCTTCATAGAGTTAATGTGAATTTCAAGTGCTTAATGTAAGTGAACTTCAAAGGAAATCCATCTAAATCGTCTTTAACAACATGTAAGTGGAGTCCTGACCACAATCTTGTCATTTTGATCTTTAAAGTAGAAACTCTTGCGTTTGCAGCCAGGGATTTTAGGAATTGAAACTTCCTTCCTTTCATGTATAGTGTGTTGTGCACTTGACATTTGGACCAGTGCACTACCAAGCAAGATGGAGAAAAAAGATTTTTAAAAAAAGCCAGAATGTTTGAGAATCAAAAATAGTCAAGATCATGAGCGAGGATGACCAAGACATGGACAACAGGGAAGAAAAAGGAGGGCAAGTCCAAAGGGAGGTGATGCTGTGTAATAGCCTGAGTGTTCTGAAACAATGCTCATACCTCCATTTCACTGCTTTTACTCTGTACTGTCACAACATTTCTGTTCTTTTACTTGTTTTGGTTTTTTTTGTACATTGTCCTCCACTGTTTTCTATTTTTTCCCCCAACTCAATATCCCTGCTATCATTTCTGACAACTTGATTCAGATTCACCGGTCAGCTGCAGTCAGGACCTCATCAGAGACCTTTCAATCATAGAGCTCATACACAGCTTTTCTCCCTTCCTTCACTTCTGTTATTTTGAACCCAGCTTGACCACTGTATAGTAGGCACACTGAAAAATTCAGCCCTATCCTCCTCTGCTTTTTGGAGGTGGTCTACTTGTCATACCTGCATGCATGTCTTGCAATGCAGATGAGCTGTAAGATCCAATTTGTTTGTGTGGAGATGACTCGAATTCCTTTGCCACAGAACATTAGGGCTGCAAATTAATATCCCTGGGCTCACTGGCTCACAGGTCTGTTTCGAGACAGAAGACAGGCATTCTGGGATAATGGCAGATGCATGGAGAGAATTCTTTAAGACCCGCAGTGCCTTGTCTTTATAAACCCTTCTCCACTCCAACATTTTCCTGCTTTCCCCTTATGGTTTCATTTGTCACCTGTAGCGACCTTCTCCTAAATGAGTGCAAAAGAAAGCGAGCTCATCTCTAGTGTCGTGCTCAGAGTTACAACATCTATAGTCTCTGTCATTCTCCGCAGACACTCACGGGGAACGACTGGAGGGAATACAAATGAGCAACAAAGTATTTGAGGGACAAAAACCTGATACAGATCTCAGCTAGATGACAATATGTACAGGTCCTCACTGGTTTTACTGATACTGCTATTTATTTCAGTCATTATTAGGATTTTCTTTTTCAAAACAGAAAAAAAACAAAAGTTTATTTAAATAAATAAATGTTGACAATCAAGAATTCAATTCAAAGGGAATAACAAAAAGTATTTATTAAGATTATGTAGGCTGAAGTTTAAGCTTATTGTGCCTACACTTTAATACATACAGACATTTTTTCTTTGCTTTTATGTTAGGTATTGAAAGGTTACTTACACTGTCTTATTTTATTTATTTTTTCATTGCAAACATAGGCAGTGATGTTGAAATATGGTACATGAACGTAATTAAATGATACATTTACTCCATGTCATAATGTAAATTTGCTGCTGGCAAAACTGGTGCAGTCTACCATCTGTTCTTGATCATTAACATTCACTATGCTTCTTACAGTACATGATTGTTTGGCTGTTGAAAGGCTGCACATAATACATAATTGTTTGGTTCTCTGCATTTTAGATACAGTTTTAAGGAAGCTGGTTTTCCCTACTTGACAATAGTTGGATAACAACTGATGCTACTCTCAGGTCTGTACATATGCCCCGTAAAAAACTGAATTGCTTTTAAAATTTATCCTTTTAAATATTTTTTCATAAATTCAACAAGTGAGATACTTGTTGGTAAATCTAATGTAGACACACATTCAATGTTGGACAAAAGGCTCAGCTGAAAAAGAAACGACATTCTACCTCCCTGTTAATGGGTTTGTACCAGCCTGTTCATTATGAGCAATGTATTCTCACTCATGTGATCACACACTCATGCACTGATGATGGGTTAGGATCATATTCTCATCATAATGAAAGTTTTGGTGTCATTTTCTAACATAAGAAAGAACAATAGTGGACAGAAGTATGAATAAGAAGGCAAGAGAAAGGACAGATGCATAATCAAAAGGCAAATCTTACCCATCTCTGAGAAGCGCCTGACCCATGTTCTCAGTTACCATATAATTGGATAAGCACAAGGTGTGCTTTGGCCACAGTGTTATGATGTGCCAGCTGAGAAAACGCTGAGAGCCTTCCTGGGAATCATATGCTTAACTTCTTGTTTAGGACACTTAGCCATCACAGGTAAATGTTTTCTATACCCTTTGGATCAGCTAGTTACTCCTGTACAGGAGGTCTCGACCAACTCCTTGTTCAAAGGGTTCAAGTTTCTGATACGAAGAATTGGTCCCCAACAGTTAATACAGAAACTGAATTGAGTTGGTAGTGAGAAGACTCAAATAGCTCTGACTTCTTACCTCTGGATGTCTATCCCAGCCTAATTTTTTAATATGCAAGCTTAATTGTGTGAAGGCTTATCATATGAAACTAACCAAGACATCACAAACCTCTAAAACAGGACATGACCAAAGCTGAAAAGGTTTTTTTTTACACCACCTCCATTGCTTCTTCCTCCTTTGACTCTCTTGCTTCAATATTTCTGCAGTCAGTGCGTCAAGGCACCAGCAAAAAGACAGGGCAGCATTTGATGCCCTGGAGAAAGCACTGGTTTTCCTCAAGAAGTCAGACCTTATCAGGACAAGTAACTGACCTTATCACATACTTCTATCAATTGTTTCTTTTGTAATGTTTATCCTGACCCAATTCTTGTGATATTTTCAGTCTTTTTACTTCCTTATT